GATACACGCTCCACAAAAATCCTCCTCTATTACTCAGCACACGCTTCGAAGCCTCGACACAGAAGGACACATCACTAGTTAGGGGAGTCGTTCTACAACCAGTGGGTTTTTTGGTTTGATCCCCCATTTCAGCCRTCTCAGTCAATGTGACCTTGAGGAAGACACATCACCCAACTTGCCGATTGATGGTGGTCAGAGGGTCCGGTGGTGCCGGTGCACGGCAGCCCCGCACATGTCTGTGTGGCCCAGGGCAGCTGTGGCTACAGTAGCTTACCATCACCAGGGACTTGATAAAGCACTATATACAGTACGTTCAAGCACACAGAGTGGTGTGTGAACTTGCACCCACACTCTTTGGAGTCTCTTTTGTGCCACATGCATTTGGAAGAATGCACCAGGTCAGATGGCAGACTCTTCAATCTGGCCTAAAGTAAGGGAGACTATCATCAGAAACTTCTTGTTCCCTGATGATGCCAGTTCTCAAGTTTGATGAGGCTTACAATCGCTTTAGACTCACCATCAGCCTGAAGAAGACAAATGTGATGGGCCAGGACACTGACTCTCTCTCAGTCGTAGCCCATGAACTAGAGGTTGTTCTCCAGTTCACGTACCTGGGCTCTACCTTCACAGACCATCTCTCTTTAGATGCAGAGAGCCACAAAATGATAGGGAAGGCTGCTAAAACATGGACTCACCTCTGGGAGAACTCCAAGCTCTCAATGAAGACAAAGACAACAGTGTACAAAGCCTGTGTCCTCAGTACACCCTTGTATGGCAGTGATAGCTGGACTACCTACTGTATGCCCAGTTGGAAAAAAAATCTTGGCCCTGTGCTACAAAGATGTCTGAAATGCAACATGAAACCAGAAGGTGGTGACACTGTCTCTGGTGAAGATCTTACAGCAGACCGCTCAAAGTGGAGAAATGCCATTTACCACCACACCAGACTTTACGAGGACAAGCTCTGCAAGTTCATCTGAAGCAGAAAGGAGAGCAGCAAGTATAATATCTGCAGCCATGACTGTCACTCCAGGATTGGACTTCAGCCAGCAAAAATGTTGTGACAACACAGAAAGAGGAATGATAATCCCATGATCATCAATGGAAGACCCAGGTCACGCTGGAGAGACTATGTCACTCGGCTGGCCTGGGAACGCCTTGGAGTCCTCCCAGAAGAGCTGGAAGAGGTGGCTGGGGAAAGAGAGGTCTGGGCTTCCCTGCTCAATCTGCTGCCCCCGGGACCCGACTTTGGATAAAGTGGAAAATAGTGGATGGATGATCATCATTGATCAAAGGTGGCCGACAATAGTAGACAATGTGCTGGTTTTTAGATAGTGTTGAATTTAAAGAAGACTCTGCCAAGTCTCACCAGCTGGTTGACATTTTAGACTAGTTACCACTTTGAATCATGCATCTAAACCATTAAAATTTAGAAATAAATATAGAAAAACACATATTTATATTAAAAGTAGTAAGTTCTTACACACTGTAACAACTATTATTGCAGCACTTGTAAATGCTCAGCCGACCACAGAAAAACACCAATGTTCCAGGTGATGGATGGATGTATAGAGCTATAGAAATGTGTATTTTAGGTTGTTTTTTTTTGCATTGATCTATTTTGTCAATCTTTGCTGACAGATGAAAACAGATTGTTCCTCGCACTGCAACAGAAGTAGAAATGTCTTYACCTGCACAGGTAGACATGCTGTAGGTTATCTGTACAGCTATGATAAAAGCAGACACTATCAAAGCCTAACTGTTCTGTTCCTGTCTAACCCTCAGCGGCTGACAGGTGCGGCCTGAATGATCCTGCAGTTTCCTCACAGCTTCTCTTCACAATAATGTTCATCCAGTTAAACTGAACTTCTGGTCTGCCTTACAACCAATAAAGAAGTTAAATAACATTGTGTTCACCAGGCTGTTTCCAGTGAGGCAATATTGTTTCATTGTAAAGGCAGAACTTCTGACCCCCAGTTGATCTTCAGTGAACTTTGTGCTGCTGTTACATACTGTATAAAGCAGGGTTTGACAACACCAGGAAACAATCGCAGACACTTTTAGGTCTTTGATCTTCACAAAAACTCACAAGAGAGCAAATTTACCTAATTTACCTCAAAACCAGCAAAAATAATGCGATTTATTCTGTCATGATCTGTGTTTTTGCTTTCATTTTCTAGTGTTTCTCTGTTCCCCTGTGTATCTCTTCCCTGCTATCTTGCCTCCAGCCCCGCCCACGCTCACCTGTTTCCTCTTGTGTTTCCCATTGTCCCTCATTAGTTCACCTTTATATTCTGAGTCCGCTTTTCAGTCTTTGTCGGATCATTGTTCTGTGTTCAGTCTTCCTCGTCCCTGTAAGTCCTGGAGAGTTTTTGAGCTGCCTCGCCAGCCCTTTTCTGTTAAAATAAAGCTGTTTTTGTTAGTTTTTGAGCCTCACCTGCACCCTGGGTTTTTCCTCCCTGATTCTGTCATATTCTATTATCCATCCATCCATCCATTTTCTGTACACGCTTCTTCCTTTTCAGGGTCGCGTGGGTCACTGGTGCCCATATCCAGCAGTCACAGTGCGAGGGGCGGGGTACACCCTGGACAGGTCGCAAGTCCATCACAGGGCCACACACAGATCCCAACCAAGCAAAACCAGGTGGGAACAGTATGTAAAGTCCCGCAATCACTATAAAAGTGTTCTAAGGG